TGTAAAGGAAGGTTTTAATATAACTTTGCTGTTTTGTTCGTTTTTCCTCCCACTCAAATTCTGGTGAATTCATTAAAAACGGCTCTTTTTCCACTTTACGAGACACAGTGTTTTACTAGTTAGCCATCAGAGAAAGTCTGAAGGGCATATATGCAGCTATGAACATTTCAAGGTTGGGCGGTGCCAAAGGAGTAATACAGCTTTTTTTCTGGACAGCACATACGTGCAAGCTTTGCAGAGGAGACATTATATCTTCCATGATATTTAAAGATCCCGCTTGTATTAGCATACGTATAACAATTTGGATTGCTTGTCAGGTCAATAATGTCAAGTTTTAGATTATCATAAGCTGTATACATGTATATTGTATAATGTACTATATGTAGGTTTTTGCCCCCTTGAAATAATTTCTTGATCATTTCTTGTGTAGTCAAGTGTGGAAAAGTATGTAATTATGAAAGAACTGAAGGTGGCGATTAGTTAGGAGATTTGTGATAAAATGTCCATTTTGACAGAAAATGCCAAATGTTCGCAATACAAGATTTTTAAAATATTCTCTGGAAAACTTGGTTCTGAAATATCTTGGAAATTAATTGACTGATGGTAATTTGAAATACAAAAATCCATACACGTTAGATTTGAATTTATTATGTCAGGTAACGCTGCCACAAAACTCGAAAATTGCTTTCCCAAGAAGTTATGCACTAATATGCAATTATATAAAGCATCTCAGTTTAATAAATGGAACTGTCCAGTATCATAAAAATAAATATTAAGATCAGTGAGAGCTAGTAATCTTACTTCATTTAGTGACTTAGTCGTATTGGGCAATTAAATGCAATTTGAACTATACTAAGTGACATATAAATCCGAACACCCAGTTTAAATGGTTTTATTTTAATAAAATTTTGTATAAGTACTTAATGAAGCATAATAAGTAAATGATAAAAATTTCAAAATGATTCCACTGCTTCAAAGCCCTTTGACCTTTAATAATGTGTGGATGCACCCTGATGTACTACGCATTCTCCAACGCGCCTAGGCATGCTTCTGATCAGGTGGTCAATGTCCTCCTGTGGTATCTCATTCCAGGCAACCACCAACTCCTCTCGAAGTACTTCTAGAGTCTGAGGAGGACGTTGCAAATTGAGCAATCTCCTACCCATCATATCCCACACGTGCTCAATTGGGGATAAGCCGGGAGATCTTGGTGGCCATGGTAACAATGTGACATCATTATGTTGAAAGAAGTCTATTGTGACTCTTGCAACATGTGGTCGGGCATTATCTTGTTGGAAAGTTGGATCTGCCAGGGTGTCAAGATAGGGTAAAAGATGGGGTTCTAGAACTTCGTGGATATAACGCTGCGCGTTCATGTTACCTCTGATGAAGATTAAAGGTGACCTGAAACCATAAGCTATAGCACCCCAAACCATAACTCCAACAGTGTGATGAACATGTCTTTCAACAAAAAACTGTGGATTCCTCCTTTCACCAAGTCGCCTTCTAACCCTGGCACGACCATCGTGCATGCCTAAACAAAATCGAGACTCGTCACTAAAGACAATACTGTTCCATTCCTGATCCCAGAGTGACTGTTGTCTGCACCACTCAAGGCGATTACGTCGGTGTCAGGGTTAGAAGACGACGTGGTGAAAGGAGGAATCCACAGTTTTTTGTTGAAAGACATGTTCATCACACTGTTGGAGTTATGGTTTGGGGTGCTATAGCTTATGGTTCCAGGTCACCTTTAATCTTCATCAGAGGTAACATGAACGCGCAGCGTTATATCCGCGAAGTTCTAGAACCCCATCTTTTACCCTATCTTGACACCCTGGCAGATCCAACTTTCCAACAAGATAATGCCCGACCACATGTTGCAAGAGTCACAATAGACTTCTTTCACATAATGATGTCACCATGTTACCCTGGCCACCAAGATCTCCCGACTCTCCTCAGACTCTAGAAGCACTTCGAGAGGAGTTGGTGGTTGCCTGGAATGAGATACCACAGGAGGACATTGACCACCTGATCAGAAGCATGCCTAGGCGCGTTGGAGAATGCGTAGCACATCAGGGTGCATCCACACATTATTAAAGGTCAAAGGGCTTTAAAGCAGTGCAATCATTTTGAAATTTTTATCATTTACTTATTATGCTTCATTGAGTACTTATACAAAATTTTATTAAAATAAAACCATTTAAACTGGGTGTTCGGATTTATATGTCACTTAGTATAATTTGAAATACTAAAGATCCCTACACGTTAGATTTGAATTTATTATGTCAGGTAACGCTGCCACAAAACTCGAAAATTGATTTCCCAAGAAGTTATGCCCTAATTTGCAATTATATAAAGCATATCAGCTTAATAAACGGAACTGTCCAGTATCATAAAAATAAACATTAAGATCACTGAGAGCTACTAATCTGACTTCATTTAGTGACTTAGGCGTATTGGGCAATTAATGCAATTTTCTTCCAAAGTTTGAACTATATCAACGAACATACAATTCTTCCTCTCCCAGTGGTGTAGGAAGTAAAACCATCTTGTATTCTGTGTTCTACAGTCATTGGTTATTACATTTACCCTATTAACTTATTCATGGTAACTGATCTGATAATAGTGGGGTTTAGCCTCGGACATTCGTAATTAGAGTTATCATACTAAATAATGCGTTATAGTCGTACTATTAAGCATTATGTGGTGAGAAAATTACATGATGGAGTTTCTCTGCATAATCCATTATTTTGTGTAATAGATTTTCAGTTTTTATATAAATAATAAATATATTGCTCCTGTATACATTTAAAATTTGAACTTCTTAGGAAATTAGTGAAATATATGAGGAGGATAGGAGGCGAGGATGAAACCTTTTTACAAAGTATTTTTATTATACAGGGTGGCGGATATGTAACTCACTGGTTTGTATCTTGAATATTTGTGAAATGAAATAAAATACGTCCATTTTTCCATCTCAATATTTTAAAAACTTAGAAATAATGTATGAAAAATAAAATCAGACAAATGTCCGCCTCTAGAAGCTGCTCTGCAGTATTTGAGTTGTTGGCATAAACCCTATTTTTTAAAAATCCCCATAAAAAAGTCAGGAGCCGTTAAATCCGGTGACCTTGGTTGCCAGTTACATCACCAAATCGAGAAATTAAACGTTCAGACAAGTTGCTCCGTACTGCTGGAACCACATGTTTTGCAGGTTAAATTGTTCTATTTGAGGAGCTAGAAAGCCTGGCACCACATCACGGTAGCGCTCCCCAGTGACAGTAAGAGAATTACCTGCAGCGTCAGAAGTAAGGTCCAATGACAGCTCCATAGTGGTCGTTGATGGATGACACGAGGGTTCTCTAATGCCCAGATACGACAATTCTTCATCGCTCATTATCAATTGTCGGTAAAAATCGTTATTTTGGGTATTAAGCTGCAGTATTGCATGACTGTATTGTACGCGACTTTTATTGTCACTAGGCTGTAGTTCTTGGGTTAACTGAAGTTACAGTTTTTTTTTAAATCGTGCATAAGGACGTGCGACGAAGACCCAAGTCTTGAGAACGATGTCTGGTAGACGTCTCAGGGTGCTCCACTACACCTTCACGAACTCTCTCGATATTTTCCGGAGTACGAACAGTTCGAACACGGCCCGACCTTGGCAAGTCTTCAACTTCACCTGTTTGTTCAAATTTTCGCACCAACTGACGAATTGTGCTGACACTGGGCACATTATTTTGACCGAAATATTGTCGTAGCTTCCGAATCGTTGCACCAATCGACTCGTTATTTAAGTAAGACGTTTTAACAATACGGGTGCGTTGTGGGATTGTGATGATGAATTATCACTCAATTATATATTGGCCACTCTACATATAGTGTACAGGTAGCTTGGCTGCCTGATTAGATGAGCTATTTTGGTCAAAATCGGATTCACTGATTTTTCTTTCTCGGTGTTTTTTTGGCGGTTCTGATCCAGACGTGTTGTCGCACTTTCTTTCTATGGCTCCTCCCAAAATATGACATCTGGAATGCAGAAAGGGAACTGTTCAGCTCTTTTATATATCTGCTTAAGGTACCTCTCTAATTCAAGAATGTGACTTTTACTTATGTGTGAGAACACATCATCAAGTCCGCATGTTAGTTTCGTATAGTTGCATGTTTCAATTCGATTTCATTTCTATAGAACATTAGGTAAAAACAGAGAAGGTAATATTTCAGAGCAAAACTAAAAATGACTTTTGTTCTTGGTCCAAGTAGATACATACATATGATGATATAATTCTGTACCTCAGAGCCGGACTAGGCTAAGTCCATTTTTGCTTAATATGACTTTCGTTTGTGAATGTGAATTTTTATTCAGTGTATGACTTGACATAACTTATAAAATGATAACTTTCTCATTTACTTGTAGGTGGGCGTTGTAAGTAGCAAATCAAAGTTCACAATAGTATCATGCACTCAACATATCAAACTCTTTTGAGGAAAAAATGGGTTCAACCTAGGTACATAATTTTGTATGAAAGTGACGTGGCAAATCTGTCGTAAACAAACAAAAATGGCTAAAAAACTAAACGAACTTGTTAATTGTTCCCCATGCCTACGAACGCGAAAGTATAGTGTAATCCATAAAAATTTCCAAAATGACACATTTACATTATGAAAAACATGTCACCCATCCCTGTCAGTCTGTCACACGGTTACTAATATACGAGACGGAAAAAGCTTTGTAGTTTCCGAAAATCGACCCAGTGGTGGCGGAGAGTAATACCAATAACGAGGAAAATAAAAACGCTCAAACTTCTTTTTGAAATATATCTAGAGGGCGAATTGCAATTTTTTGATGTTAGTATACATATCTTTACATTTCCAATCCCGTTATACATATCAGACATATTTCAACCCTAATAGATTTTCCTCCAAAACTTAGAACGATAGAGAACTGTTTTCGCCACGTGTCCCTGGATCTGCGGTCTGGATTCATCACCCGGCGACCGGCCTTCGTAAGTGCCTTTTCAGACACACGCGGTTTCCGTTTATACGGCGACCGCATACACGGATGTAATCGCTTCACAACTACAACGGTTTTCGTCCGGTTACCCATTGTGACATCAATAGCAGTGTCGGGCTGGTGTTCATATTGGCAGTATGGATAGAAAAAAAACTATAGCTTTATTGTTTTTGACAGACGTCGCTTGCGTCGTAGTAGAAAAACATGGGAAAGAATATATTGGATTCATCCATATGTTGCCAAAAGAAGGGAATTAGGTGATTTTTATACGAAGTTTATGGATCTCCGAGAACATGAGGATAAGTTCTTCATCTACTTTCGAATGTCAATTAAATCATTCGATCAATTACATGAACGATTAAAACCATCATTACAAAAAAAGAACACGGCCATGAGGGATTGTATTGAGCCTATACAAATGTTGTGCGTCACGCTTAGGTGAGTAAATAAAGTTAAATATATATTTTGTAAATTCTGTTTAATTACATGTACTAACAAACTGAAAAATATTAACTCATTTCAAATAACAGTTTTAATAATAACGGTATAATCGACAACTATGTGAAATCTAAATCCGCGTACACAGAATCCTGTGTAGAAGCACTATCAACTGAAGATGGATTTTCCGCTGTGGGGTTGTATTGTTCAAAATATTCACGTGCGTTTGCCTCATGTGGATAATTTGTTGTAGTATATGCGGGCATGTTTCTGTTAATACAGATTCCTGAAGGAGTCGCAGGTGGCTCTTTTGGCAATGACAAAGTAGAACGGTGAACATGTTCTGTACTATTTTGTCGATTAATATAGTTGTCATATACAGAAGTTCCGGCACATGGAAGTGACTGGTTTGATTGAAACCGCCTCTGCTTGATATTGGTAATTAATCGTAAAACGCCAGTCTGAAATTGTAAAGTTTCATCGTCTGTGAAGGTATGTAACGATGGGACGATACCTTTAAAAAATGAAATATGACGATCTTCTGGCTGTTCTAAAGCTTTAATCATCCTGAGTTCAACGTCGTCTATTTTTCTTTTTCGAGAGCCAAGTTGCTTTCGAGGAGGTGATTTAAGCTGGGTATTATTATTTTCAGTATCAGTTTCTGAAACATCGGCGTCGGAAGTTGCTTGGACGGGATTGGCAGATAAACTATCTTCAGTTGATCTATGCGTAAATATTTTGGTTAGAAACTTCAGTTGTTCAGCATAAATGTATTTGCTTAAAGTTGAGGCACCAGAACCAGACTTTTTGAACGATTTTTCTTTCTTCAAAAACTTGTTAAATGCATCCCGAATGTTGACCCACCTCTTTACAACCTCTTTACCTGTAAATACAAAAATAAATAATAGAAACTTTCTCTTTCTAGGTATTTGGCGAGTGGATGTACATTTACTGACTTGCACCTTCAGTATAGACTTGGCATTTCAACCATCAGCGGTATTGTTAAAGACGTTTGTTCTACTATATGGTGTTTAATGTTGGGAGAGTGCATACCTCCACCAACTAAAGATAAATGGGAATCGATTTCCACAGAATTCGAAACACGAGCCAATTTTCCTCATTGTATAGGGGCAGTCGATGGAAAACATATTAGAATCAGTAATCCCTTAGGTTCCATGTATTATAACTACAAAGGTTATTCGTCTGTAGTTTTAATGGCTGTTGCTGACGCAAATTATCGCTTTGTGTATGTAGACATTGGGAGTTACGGAAAAGATTGCGACTCATCGATATTTAAAAGATCATCTCTTTGGACATCAATTATTAATAATGATCACGAAATACCTATTGAAAAAACTGTTACTGGAATAGACAATTGCAAATTACCTTATTATTTCGTTGGAGACGAAGCATTTGCCCTCCACCAGCATCTACTTCGTCCATTTGGGGGATCTCAACTTACAATAAAAAAAAGAATGTTTAATTATCGTCTAAGTAGGGCTCGGAGGTATGTGGAATGCACATTTGGACTTTTAAGTAACAAGAGGAGGATATTGCACAGAGCGATAAACCTGGAACCTGACTTTGCAGTAATCATAGTTAAGGCATGTGTCGTTTTGCATAATTTTGTGCGCGACAGAGATGGATACCAGGTTGAGGATACAGATGTAATTGTAGGCCTTGATGAACTACCAAGAGAGCGGGAAACACGTGGAGGATTACCAGCAAATAACGTGCGAAATATTTTGAGTGATTATTTTATGTCAAATGTAGGAGCTTTACCTTGGCAAATGTTAAAAATATAGAAAATATGTGAACTTACCATATTTATTTTTTTCTTCCTCACTATAAACATGGAAATCGCTGTTCATTTCTATACAGACTTCTTTCCACGCTTCCTTCGTCTCATTTCTGTTCTTATATATTGGTGATGTTTTATCCCATAATACAGGACGAGCTTCTATCAAAGCAATTAATAACTCAGTATCTAGTTCTTTTGACATTATATTTTATATTAAATAAATACGTATACACGCCGCTGTTTAAACAGGAGCCTATACGACCGTGTGTATGTGAACGAACTCATGCATAACCAATATCTACTAGCTCTACGGCCGCCGTGAAGGAACCGCGACCGTGTCGACTTGCACGGCCGCACTACGGTAACGGCACGGTCACGGCGACATCTGAAAGCGCTCATTCAAATACATGTATTACTAGAACCGTCACGGAACCGTTTATACGGAAACCGTGTGTGTCTGAAAAGGCACTAAGTGTCCTCGTATGACTGGCGCTTTGTCGCACTGCCACGACAGACGCATCGTGTCATTGGAGAGGGGCGACGTTGCCAGATGGACGGTACTACGGGTAGGGCTGTTCGACGGAATTGATCAGTGAATTTCTTTGTTCTACAAATTTGTAACCAACTTTGTAACTAACTTGTGCTGAACTTAGTCCTTTATGAACTGATGACCGCGTTGCGTGAGAAGTGCGGAGTCAACCTACTCGACGCTATTTTTTGGTATTCGCAATTGTTGTAGCTGGTTAAAATTCCATGATTTGCATAGCTTATTGTATACTAAGTGACATATAAATCCGAACACCCAGTTTAAATGGTTTTATTTTAATAAAATTTTGTATAAGTACTTAATGAAGCATAATAAGTAAATGATAAAAATTTCAAAATGATTGCACTGCTTTAAAGCCCTTTGACCTTTAATAATGTGTGGATGCACCCTGATGTGCTACGCATTCTCCAACGCGCCTAGGCATGCTTCTGATCAGGTGGTCAATGTCCTCCTGTGGTATCTCATTCCAGGCAACCACCAACTCCTCTCGAAGTGCTTCTAGAGCCTGAGGAGGACGTTGCAAATTGAGCAATCTCTTACCCATCATATCCCACACGTGCTCAATTGGGGATAAGTCGGGAGATCTTGGTGGCCATGGTAACAATGTGACATCATTATGTTGAAAGAAGTCTATTGTGACTCTTGCAACATGCGGTCGGGCATTATCTTGTTGGAAAGTTGAATCTGCCAGGGTGTCAAGATAGGGTAAAAGATGGGGTTCTAGAACTTCGTGGATATAACGCTGCGCGTTCATGTTACCTCTGATGAAGATTAATGGTGACCTGGAACCATAAGCTATAGCACCCCAAACCATAACTCCAACAGTGTGATGAACATGTCTTTCAACAAAAAACTGTGGATTCCTCCTTTCACCACGTCGCCTTCTAACCCTGGCACGACCATCGTGCATGCGTAAACAAAATCGAGACTCGTCACTAAAGACAATACTGTTCCATTCCTGATCCCAGAGTGACCGTTGTCTGCACCACTCAAAGCAATTACGTCGGTGTTCTCGAGTTAAAGGGAGGACCCAGTGTGGCCGGTATGAAAACAAGCCAAAACTTCTCATTCGTCGGTAAACACTTCGCATGCCAATAGGTCTTCCGTGTTCTGCAAACCATTCATTTGCAATGGACCTGGTAGTGGAGAAACGGTCCCTTAAGGCCAATAATCGTAGGCGGCGATCTTCACGGTCTGTTGTTCTACGGCGGCGTCCAGTGCCCCTTGCTCTTTGCGTACGGCCTTCTCGAAGCCATGCCTGACAACACCTAACCACAGTGTCTACACTTCTTTGCACTCTAATTGCAATTGCCCGAAAAGAAAGTCCAGCTTCCCGAAGTCCCACTATACGGCCACTATCAAACTCACTAAGTTGACGAAATCGTACAGGTCTCCGTACTCTAGGCATCGTAACCGATCGTAAAGGATGTCAAGAACCAAAATCCGCCAACGTTGATTCTTTACTGCGGCAGAAATATTCATTTTTAGAGCGTTAATGAAAAAAAAAAAAGCAGTATAAAAACCGGAATGTCCAACCGATAAGGCTGAAAATTTTTTCACTTGTTATTTACAGTAACATAAATACATTCACCAACTTTTATTAAAATAAAACCATTTAAACTGGGTGTTCGGATTTATATGTCACTTAGTATGTTTTATATTTAATTATTGTTCATACAGATGTCGAGAAGGTATCAAGATCCAATTTATTGTATTGTTATTCAACTTGTTTTTTTGCAGCATAATGGCTATTTTTAAAGCATGCTGTGCCAACAATTACAACGTTTTATCTTTGTTTACCTTTTTTAAAATGTTATCTCCTAGTTTTTGTGAATAAAGCAGTTTCTGAGAACTGAGTAGTACAGATATTTTTGCCACCAGCATTTGAATTGGAGCAGAGAACGGCGACATTGAGAGATAGAATGGCATACTTTCATCTTCAGCAACGTATCGCTATTCTGTCTAGGTACGCATGTTGGTCGTAGGAGGGTAAAACGCCGTTGTGGAGAACGGCGTGATATTGGATTTGCTATTGAGAGACATGTACATAAGACTGTTGGAGTAATGATTTGGAGGGATATTGCCTATGGTAACCGATCACCCCTTCTCCTTGTTTAAGGTGAAACCACTTTACTGCCGTATCTACAGGGCCGTCCACACGTCCTTTTTCAGCAACACAACGCACGTTCCCATATTGCTCGTCGTACTACGGCTTGGACTTCCATCAAGGAGCAGGCGTTAATGATTCGAAGTGGCCACGCCGTTCACCGGAATTACATCCCATCGCACATGTGTGGGATATGATGAGGAGGAGACTATCCACTTTGCACCATACGCCACAAACTCCGCCACAGCTAATCCACGAAGTTCGAGTTGCTTTGAATGAGGTGCCACAACCAGACATCGATCATCTCATTTTGTCGATGCCTAGACGTATACAAGAGTGTATTCAGCTGCGGGATCGCCCAACACATTGTTTTTTTTTTCTTTTTACTTGTCAATTAAATTTTGTGAGAATGTTGTCGTTTCATTCTTAATGTAAGACTACCTCATTGCCAAAAGGTCAATATGAAGAAATTATTTTTTTCTGGATGTAACACTTCTAATGCCACCGAGAATATTTAGTACGATATCATCCTGCTATTCATTAAAAACACAATAATGCAAGAAGGTGAATCGACCGTAAGTGAATATAGAGAGACAGAGCCGTAAACGTTGATCACAATGGACACAATAGCACAATGGGGCCCGCAAGTATAGCACCCTGGAGCTGCTGCGAGCCGTCCTATTATTTGGCCTGCCTGTAGGGCTCCGCTCATGCTGCTCTGGTGATTATTTTCCTCCTTTTGGTTGAAAGGGGCGGGAAAGCACTCCCTTACAGCCGCTCTTCACCTAGTATGCCGCTCCAGTCCTAATGTCTGCGGATTACGAGGTTATTGTGAAGGCGTTTCGTACAATTTTTGTCTTTAGCGTTCGCGGAGTATTCCGGACCGTTAATTAAAACTTCACTTGCAAAACCTCTATCTTATAAAGTCATCTGAAGTAAATATTTTTTCTTCTTTCACAAATATTAATTGCGTTAATTAACAAATTCGAGTAGATTAGAATGATTGAAATGGCTTAAGCATAAATTACAAACCTAGAATGCCTCCAGCTTCGCATATCGAGAAATGCTTTCGATAATGTTAAGTTTCGAGACAATTATCATCGGTTTTTCCGTTTAGAAGGTATACTACCACGAATGGGCACGTTAAACTTATGATAAACATCTTTTTTTGGTCGGGGTTTAAAAGTATTGGCCTTATTGCGTGTTGCATATAGTTATTTCGAGAAACATCGGTTCGTTAAAATAACCATTGTATGTGTCCATAGCACAATGAAAAACAGCGAAAAAAATGTTTCAGTAAAATCGATGCAGCAGTTTCCGAGGCTACAAGATTGGAAAACCACCACGAGATGGACAGACAAACAAACATAATGATAGAAATTAATTATACGAATCCTATATTAATTTAGACCGTATCTGTTCAGAAAAGTTATTCTTACGTTTGAATTCCCTTTCATAGCATTTTTTATAATAAAAACTTATCGACGTTTCCACTCTTACGTGAGCAAGTTTTAAGTTGAAAATATGTACTACTTACGTTTTGTTTCTCGAAACACATTGGACTGAGGAAATAGTAATTCATGTATCTTAGTCATTGAGTGGACGCTTATGGGTTGCGACGTGAAATCAGCGCTCAAGGCTCTAGCGTACGACGTTTATCCCTAGACTGACACAGCTGCAAAATCTACTCAATTTCAAAGCATAACATATACTCCAAGCCTCTCTCATCAGTAACCAGACAATTCTCACGCTAATCCAGCATTTTATCACTTTTATCACCCTGTGGAATGTTATTTTTCATGTTCTCCATCTCCATTCCAGTGACGCGTTCCAATATATTTTACTTGCTTGCTATGCACAGCTTCGCGCATACAGCAGCTTCTGTGTCTTTTATTTTGTGGAGCCTGGAAAGGCAGTCAGGCATTCACAGCCAGAATTGTTGAGGTAGCTTAATCTGCTGAAATTTATATTTGGATATTCCGGATTGCACTGTTGGTACAGAGGCGGCTCGTCAAAGTGAGCAACGCAGATTTTTTTGATAATCATGTAAAAATGGCGTCAAGCAGGTGGGCTCTGTTTTTACCACGTAATTCTGCCAACAATTAGATTACGTTACTATTAGAACGTCTTTCTCTGTTACCATAGATGTAACATTTCCAACGTTTTTTCCTGGACAACTAGGGAATAGTATTTAGAGGTGTAGCATAGGTTGAAATTTACATAAATATGATACAACAAGCGAAAGCAATGTCTCAAATATTCCTAAGATGCCACAAATATTGTCTTCGATCCATTATTATACAGGGCGTAGATTTATGCAAGGTAATTGTTGTTCATGTAAGGAGTCAAC